AAACTCTGTCCTGTTGGGTCACCGTGAGTCAGAACCGACCTGACAGTACACAATTCCATTAGCCATTTGGAGAATATTTACTATTTTCCCATTTTTAAATTGAGTTGTCTTTTTATTGTTGAGTTCTAACTTGTTTTTTTTTTTAATATATTCTGATGCTAGACATATCAGATATAAAAATCAAAAACAAACAAAGCAAACTCACTGTTGTCAAGTTGATTCAACTCATAGGGACCCCTCCTTGGGTTTCCGAGGTGACTTTGGAAGTAGACTTCCCAATCTTCCTTCCAAGGAGTGGCTGGTGGGTTTGAACCGCCAGCCTTCTGATTAGCAGTCTAGTGCCTTAAGCATTATGCCACCAGATACGATTTGCAAAAATTTTCTTCCATTCTGTGGATTGTCTACTTTTTTGATATGTCCTTTTCAAACACAAGAATTTTAATTTTTGATTAAGGACAATTTGTATTTTTTCCTTTCGTTGCTTGTGATTTGGGTGTTAAATCTGGTTGCTTGTGATGTGGGTGTTAGATTCTAACAAACCATCACCACAATCATGAAGATTTATACCTATGTTTTGAGAATTTTATGGTTTTAGCTCTCATATTTAGGACTTTGATCTATTTTGAGCTAATTATTGTATATCGTTCGAGGTTAGGGGTCCAACTTCATTCTTTTGCATGTGGATATCTAGTTGTCCCAGCACCATTTTTTTTTAAATTGTGAGTTGAGTGAAAATTTACAGCAGTTCATATACACTTTGTCTCATGACATTGACTACAATTTGCCACAATGCAACAGCTCCCCTCTCACTTCCTCCCAATAGTTCTCTTCCCTGCCAGCCCCATTTGTTGAAAAGACATTTTACCTAATTGAACTGTCTTGGCAACATTGTACAAAATCAATGAGTTTATTTCTGGACTCTCAATTTTATTCCACTGACCTACATGTCTATGCATATGTCAGTATCAGGCAGTCTTGATAAATATCTCATGTTTTAAAGGAGATACTTTAAACTCTTGAGTTTATATTTAGAATCTGTTTTGTTGTTATGTGCCATTGAGTCAGACCCGACTCATAGCAACCCCTCCTTGGATTTCCAAGGCAGTATCACTACGGAAGTAGATTGCCCCATCTTCCTTCCGAGGAGTGGCTGGTGGGTTTGAACC